GCGACAACCAACAAAAACCCCAAAGGACCCAACCTGACCCCGGTCCAAGTCTACATCCGACACAAAACCCATAGGACCCAACCTGACCCCGGTCCAAGTCTACATCCGACACAAAACCCATAGGACCCAACCTGACCCCGGTCCATTCCTGTATAACACACGGCCGATAGGACCCAACCTGACCCCGGTCCATATCTATATTCAACACACGGCCGATAGGACACAACCCACCCCCAGTCCATATCTCTATCCAACTCTCGGCCCATATGGTAGTGGTATACCCAGTGGTATATCTGGTATGGCCCATATGGTAGTGGTATACCCAGTGGTACACCTGGTATGGCCCATATGGTAGTGGTATACCCAGTGGTATATCTGGTATGGCCCATATGGTAGTGGTATACCCAGTGGTACACCTGGTATGGCCCATATGGTAGTGGTATACCCAGCGGTATATCTGGTATGGCCCATATGGTAGTGGTATACCCAGTGGTACATCTGGTATGGCCCATATGGTAGTGGTATACCCAGTGGTATATCTGGTATGGCCCATATGGTAGTGGTATACCCAGTGGTATATCTGGTATGGCCCATATTGTAGTGGTATACCCAGTGATACACCTGGTATGGCCCATATGCTAGTGGTATACCCAGTGGTACACCTGGTATGGCCCATATGGTAGTGGTATACCCAGCGGTATATCTGGTATGGCCCATATGGTAGTGGTATATCTGGTATGGCCCATATTGTAGTGGTATACCCAGTGATACACCTGGTATGGCCCATATGCTAGTGGTATACCCAGTGGTACACCTGGTATGGCCCATATGGTAGTGGTATACCCAGCGGTATATCTGGTATGGCCCATATGGTAGTGGTATATCTGGTATGGCCCGTATGGTAGTGTACCCATAATGTAAGGCAGTGTTTGGACTATATGGGAATGATGTGAGGGTGCAGGATATATGATGTGGGGTGCGGTGTGTATTGGGGGTGCGGTGCTATGAATGATAGGGGGGTGCATGACTTAACGTGTAGGTCTGAGGTGTATTATGTCGGTGGTAATAACAGGTTTTAGGTCTTGGGGAAAAGTGATGCGGGATGTCGGCAGAGTGTTGGCAGAAAGAGGCCCCCCCCCTCCCCCACAGTCCATGGTCTTCCAACAAGGCATGACTGAAACCATTTGGACAGCTCCAAGCTAAAGAGGCCTCCTACATCTACTACAGACTCCTCCTCACCACAACTCTTCAATTTTACTGTCCTGGCCAATCAGCGTGGTAAACAGGGAGTTCTTCCAGCCTGTAGAAGGAGGGTTGACGTCGCCCGCAAAGTGACAACTTCGAAACCTGCAAGTAGAGGAAACGTTCCATGAAAACTGGTTCCACCAAGGATGGAAGGTGCGCAACCCAACAGGACTCTCGGAAACCCAACCGACTCTCGGAAACACTTACCAGACCTGCGGACACTTCTTCAGCAGAGGGACTAACACCAACAGGTGTTCCCGATCCAGCACGTACCCGGACAACGTGACCTTCCTGCCCGCGCACGCCTTCAGGCAGAACGCCAGCTGGTAGACCCAGTCGTCAGGTTCTTGGCACTGCGAGAAGTTCAGATCCACGGCACGGGACACCACGCTCTGCATGAAGTCATCATCCCGCGTCTCGTACAGGAGATACAGGTGTTCTGTATCGAAATCCGATATTTCTCCCCCGAAAAGCCACTCGATCATGGCAGTGGTGGCTTGGAAGGACAGGCTACACCCGCAGCTCTTGGTGAAGTCTTTGTTTTGCGTCTGGTTGACGAGGCCGAAGAGGAATCGGACGGCGAGCGCCAAATGGGGGTCTTTCTCCAGCAGGTCCTTTAGGGATCGACCTTTACAGATCTCTGGCAGGTAAGTGCTCTCTCTCACCGCCCTCTGTCCAGAGCTGGTTTTCTTTTCTCCTTCCACGGGCAGGGCATAGTACACCACAGCCAGGAGGTCCTGAACGATGCGATGGATAAAGCTGTAGCAGGTGCGTTTGCCGATGTCGCCTTGGAAGACGTTGCCGTAGAGGAATACGGACTCCATCCAAGAGATGGAAATTTTGTGTCTTCTTAGGTCTTCTTCTTCAAAGAGGACTTTCCGGCTCAGAACCCCTTCGTTGGCCAATGCGCAGATCTTCTTCAGGGACGGGATCACCAAGTCATTCCTGCAATGGTATATCAGCAAACCCTTGAAGTAATACAGGAACATGGAGGTGTCCGTTGTAAAATTGGAGGGGTACTTGGAAATCTGTTGTCTGGTCACAGTGGAGACCACCCAGCACATGAACGGCACAGAGCACATGGTGTACATAGCCTCCTTCTTCTTGATTATGGCAACGGCCTTCTCCCCAGGCTCCTTCCTTTCAAAGTAGGTACAGATGTAGCGGTCGCGAGCTTCCCCCGTATACCCGACGATTTCCACAAGTCGTGGCGGATCCGGCAACAGCGTCTGCAGTTTTTCCAGCCCAAAGGATCTGGTGGTGATGACTAATGAAGCTCCCTTGACAAGCCGCCCTTTCAGCAAACTCCTCAGGAGGACCTCTTTGTGGGTTTCCCTACACGGGTCTTCACAGACGTCCTTTTCGTCCTTCAGAGTCCATTTCACCTCGTCAAAGCCGTTAATCACGAATCCCAGTTGGTCGCCCTGGCTCAGAATGTCCTTCATGACCTCGGCGGGGAAATTAAGTTTGCAGGTTTTGGATACGAGTCCAGCTAGACTTATTTTGCCGGTGATCTTGGCGAATTCCTTATAACTGATATAAAACAGATAACTGAACTTGTCTTTATAGAGATCGGCGACGGCCCAGTCATAACTGATCTTGTGGGCGGTCAGGGACTTCCCGATGCCGGTAGGCCCGTGTAGGACGACGGCCTTTGGAACGAGGCCGTTATTGTCGGGGTCAAAGAGTTCCTCGATCGAGGTCGGGGAATACTCCCCAGAGGATCGGTCCATCAATATCTGGAGATGCTCCTCCCCCGAAGAACTTAACTCCCGCTTCCTCTCCTCTTCACCTCGAAACTTCCCCAAAAGCACCAGCTTGGTGTATCTCCTCCTCAGAGCGAAGCTCTCACCCAAGCGGGAGTTTCTATCTTTCAGTAACTCAAAGTGGTGTTTCACCTTCTCCCGGTATGTTTCCATATACTCCTCAACTTCTTCGTCGGATCCTGATGGAGAATTGAAGAAAAAGTATAATTTTTACACATTTCAAGTGATTTTCTGACATAACAAACACACAAAGCCAACGGGCTGAGTAGCCTGGTGCTGCAGGCCTCATCTTATCTCCCCCCCACCCATGTATAAATATGGGGCTGATGTGTGCAAGATCCAACCAGAGGTAAGCATCACTCGGCACCAGGACTGGACTCTCCCAGTAGTCACCTACATAGTGCTGGTCTGGATATTATAGTCACTCTGCTAACCCAGGCAGGTCCACACACATCATTTCTTAGCTGGACTATGAGAATGTCCTCCATTTAACTCCGGCCCAAACGCACACACATAAGACATCTCTAGAGCTGAACTCATTTCGGGGATTCTCTTCCAGGCCCAATCAGACTGGGCTCCACCATGTTTGAACAGTCCCTCAAAACCACCTCCAAGAACTATCAATCCGTAGTCGTTTGGGGTTGGGTCCATGTTCAGGGTTAGGAGTTGGACTCATGGTTTTGGTTCATGTTCAGGGTTAGGAGTTGGACGCATGGTTTGGGTCCATGTTCAGGGTTAGGAGTTGGACTCGTGATTGGGTCCATGTTCAGGGTTAGGGGTTGGACTCGTTGTTTGGGGTTGGGTCCATTTTCAGGGTTAGGAGTTGGACTCATGGTTTGGGGTTGGGTCCATGTTCAGGGTTAGGAGTTGGACTCGTGGTTTGGGGTTGGGTCCATGTTTAGGGTTAGGAGTTGGACTCACGGTTGGGTCCATGTGCAGGGTTAGTGGTTGGACTCATGGTTTAGGTCCATGTTCAGGGTTAGGAGATGGACTCGTAGTTGGGTCCATGTTCAGGGTTAGGGGTTGGGTCCATGTTCAGGGTTAGGAGTTGGACTCGTGGTTTGGGGCTGGGTCCATGTTCAGGGTTAGGTGTTGGACTCATGGTTTGGGGCTGGGTCCATGTTCAGGGTTAGGAGTTGGACTCGTGGTTGGGTCCATGTTCAGGGTTAGGAGTTGGACTCGTGGTTTGGGGTTGGGTCCATGTTCAGAGTTAGGGGTTGGACTCGTGGTTTGGGGTTGGGTCAATGTTCAGGGTATGGAGTTGGACTCATGATTTGGGTTATTAGCACCCCCGCTACCTCCATTGTATGGAAGGAACTTGTGTCTTACACTACGGGTATCTGCACCACATAGCCAAAAGGACTGGGACACCAGTCTGTCCAACATCTGGTCTACGAGTGAAGGTCATGAAAGCAAACCTTATGGGCTGCTGGCTGCCATGGAAGCCTCTACTGGTCCTACATGTGTTCCACAATCTAGAGCCGCCTTCCTGTGAGGGGCGAGATAGGGACAGAGGACTCACTCCATGGGAATGGCCTTTGTTCGGAGATGTTGGACAGACAGATGTTCAGATACTTTTCTACACGGATCTCCTAAAATGACGTTCGGCGAGACTGTCACCGGACTGAAGCAAGCCAATAACCAGCAGTACCTTCCCCCAGAGATCGCTCCATATCGCACACAGCGGCCGGATCGTTGCTTTTAAGGGCTTGGTAGAGTTTCTCCTTCTTTGAGGTGCACCAGTCCTGGGTGACAGAGAAGAGCTTGCGCATTCTGTCCGGCCTGTTTCTTTTGGTCCTCACCGCTTCATACTCCTCGGAGATGAGAAGTTTGTCCTGCAGCAGCTGTGATAGGACGCCCTCCACATTAGATACACCATAGATCAGTTCCTCCTTATGCTGATCCACAAAGTGTTTCTGGTCTTCAGGGGGACAAAGAAAAGGGTGACACCAAAAACAACAATTGTATGAAGAAGACAAATAATTACCCCCAAATTGTTTCTCACTCTTAACCACCAATGGTGAACTATAACCCCCAACTCATGGTTTGGGTCCATGTTCAGGGTTAGGGGTTGGACTCATGGTTTGGGGTCCATGTTCAGGGTTAGGGGTTGGACTCATGGTTGCGGGTTGGGTCCATGTTCAATGGTCCATGGTTGGGTCCACTGGGGATTAGGAGTGAGAAATAGTTTGAGGGTATATGTGGAGTTGGGTCCATGTCCAACCCCTAACCCTGAATATGAACCCAACCACAAACCACGAGTCCAACTCCTAACCCTGAACATGGACCCCAAGCCATTAGTCCAACCCCTAACCCTGGACCCCAAACCATGAGTCCAACTCCTAACCCTGAACATGGACCCCACCCCAAACCATGAGTCCAACTCCTAACCCTGAACATGGACCCAACCACAAACCACGAGTCCAACCCCTAACCCTGAACATGGACCCCAAGCCATGAGTCCAACCCCTAACCCTGAACATGGATCCCAAACCATGAGTCCAACTCCTAACCCTGAACATGGACCCCAAACCATGAGTCCAACCCCTAACCCTGAACATGGATCCCAAACCATGAGTCCAACTCCTAACCCTGAACATGGACCCCAACCCATGAGTCCAACCCCTAACCCTGAACATGGATCCCAAACCATGAGTCCAACTCCTAACCCTGAACATGGACCCAACCACAAACCACGAGTCCAACTTCTAACCCTGAACATGGACCCCAAACCATGAGTCCAACCCCTAACCCTGAACATGGACCCCAAACCATGAGTCCAACCCCTAACCCTGAACATGGACCCCAAGCCATGAGTCCAACCCCGAACCCTGAACATGGACCCAACCCCCAAACCATGAGTCCAAGTCCTAACCCTGAACATGGACCCCAAACCATGAGTCCAACTCCTAACCCTGAACATGAACCCAACCCCAAACCATGAGTCCAAGTCCTAACCCTGAACATGAACCCAACCCCAAACCATGAGTCCAAGTCCTAACCCTGAACATGAACCCAACCCCAAACCATGAGTCCAAGTCCTAACCCTGAACATGAACCCAACCCCAAACCATGAGTCCAAGTCCTAACCCTGAACATGAACCCAACCCCAAACCATGAGTCCAAGTCCTAACCCTGAACATGAACCCAACCCCAAACCATGAGTCCAAGTCCTAACCCTGAACATGAACCCAACCCCAAACCATGAGTCCAAGTCCTAACCCTGAACATGAACCCAACCCCAAACCATGAGTCCAAGTCCTAACCCTGAACATGAACCCAACCCCAAACCATGAGTCCAAGTCCTAACCCTGAACATGAACCCAACCCCAAACCATGAGTCCAAGTCCTAACCCTGAACATGAACCCAACCCCAAACCATGAGTCCAAGTCCTAACCCTGAACATGAACCCAACCCCAAACCATGAGTCCAAGTCCTAACCCTGAACATGAACCCAACCCCAAACCATGAGTCCAAGTCCTAACCCTGAACATGAACCCAACCACAAACCACGAGTCCAACCCCTAACCCTGAACATGGACCCCCAACCATGAGTCCAAATGACAAAAACTAAAGAAGAACAAAACCCTAAAGATGGGCCCAACCTCTAATCCTACACATGAGGAAAACCCCTAAATATCAGTTTCTCTCATTTGCTACCTTTGGTCCGTTACACTTACCAATGCAATAATTGTCTTATATCCATTCCTATGAATACAGAGCTGCCTTGTGCTCTCTGTACACTTCCTGTGTCCCCTGTACACTTCCTGTTATGTGTCCTCTGCACACTTTCGTGTGTCCACTTCCTGTTATGTGTCCTCTGCGCACTTCCTGCTATGTGCACTGGGTACACTTCCTGTTATGTGTCCTCTGTACACTTCCTGTTATGTGTCCTCATAGCACAATTTCCTGTGTCCTCTTCCTGTTATGTGTCCTCTGCGCACTTCCTGTTGTGTCCTCTGCACACTTCCTGTTATGTGACGATTGTACACTTCCTGTTATGTGTCCTCTGTACACTTCCTGTTATGTGTCCTCTGCACACTTCCTGTTATGTGTCCTCATAGCACAATTTCCTGTGTCCTCTTCCTGTTATGTGTCCTCTGCGCACTTCCTGTTATGTGTCCTCTGCGCACTTCCTGCTATGTGCACTGGGTATACTTTCTGTTATGTGCCCTCTGTACACTCCCTGTTATGTGTCCTGTGTCCTCTGCACACTTCCTGTCATGTGTCCCGTGTACACTTCCTGTATTCTAGATAGGTCTGTTATGCACCCCCCCCCCAGTTCGTTCTCCTGACGGGCCCCCCATGATACATGACCCCTCTAGTCCTCCGCCCCCCCCAATATATGTTCACAATTTCTTTTA